TTCTATCCTTCCTATCCTTCTTCCTCCTCCCAACTACTTAACCACATTACATGCTGCCCAAACCACAACACATTCCTTTCTTCACTTACACAGTTCAGAGAACCAACATGTTGATAAATTAGACACGTGCAAACTCTTGGGTATCTTTATTGAGGAAACGTTTCGCCACACAGTGGCTTCATCAGTTCATACAAAGGAGAATCGTGAAGAACAGGAGAAGAATGTAGTAATCAGTCCCTCAACCTTGAGTCCATGTGGTCAGTCCATCAATCTTGAATAGAATACAGCATATGTGCTGAGAAGTAGCTTATACATGTATACCGTAGGCAGGAGAGGTGCACCAGACGTAGGTGGTGTCACCTACAATTCATCTACAATCCTGTCAGACACTGCAACTTCTTGGGATCTTAATACTTGGGAATTCTTCGCTTGCCTAACCCTTGTGCACGACCTACTTCCACATTGAACAAATGTGACACCACCTACGTCTGCTGCACCTCTCCTGCCTACAGTATATAAGCTACTTCTCGACACATATGCTGTATTCTATTCAAGATTGATGGACTGACCACATCGACTCAAGGCTGAGGGACTGATTACCTCATTCTTCTCCTGTTCTTCACGATTCTCCTTTGTATGGACTGACGAAGCCACTGTCTGGCGAAGCGTTTCCTCAATAAAGATACCCAAGAGTTGCACATGTGTCTAATTTATCAACATGTCGGTTCTCTGAACCATTCATCTACACTTACACATTGATGGACACATTGCTTTTGGGAGGTTCTGAGAAGTTGCAAAATCTGGTGGAGGAGCTTGGAAAGTGTTATAAAGGTTGGACTTTAAAAGTGAAAATAGGTAAAAGCAAGATGTTGATAGTAAGAAAACAACGTTAAAGCAATGCAAGATTGGAAATCTGATTGTAGGGAGGTACTATAGAAGATGTGATTTTTTTTTCTCAACACATCGGCCATTTCCCACCGAGGCAGGGTGACCCCCCCCCCCCACACACACACACACACACACAAACACACACAAAAAAAAAAAAAAAAAAGAGAGAATAAACTTGCATCATTCAACACTTTCACCATCATTCACACACAATCTATTTCTTTGCTGTGGCGACCTCAGATACGACAGCTTAGACACCCGTCACTTCCATTATCCCAAATCCCTCCTTTAAAGTAACAGGCATTTATTCCCCTATCCAGGACTCAAATCCAGCTAACCAGTTTCCTGAATCCCTTTCCCCCAAAAATATTATCACTGTCACCTCCAACCTTATCTATGTTCAATTTCAACTTTTGCCTTTATGCACCTCCCAGACTCGTCATAAACTCACAATTTTAATTTAGAATTCTCCCAAAGCCACTTCATCAGCAAAATGTAAATTGTCAACTCCCATTTTGTATATCAATACCCATTGATTTAATTACTACCCCTCTCTTCCAACACCCTAGCATTTACTTCTTTACAACCCCATCTATAAATATAGGTAGGTAGTAGGTTGGTAGAAGCAACTACACCGGGAAGTACTACCGTCCTGCCCAGATGATGTGAAACAGAAACATTTAACTGTTTAGATTGATGCGTAGGATTGCTGGTTTTTTTTTTTCTTTTTCTGTCTCATAAACACGCTAGATAAAGGGATATCTTGCTACTCCACTACACTTTGTCACACTTGACAGACACGCACATGCATATATAATTATTCATACATCTAGGTTTTTTCCTTTTTCTAAATAGTCTTGTTCTTCTGTATTTCTTCTATTGTCAAATGGGGAAGGGTGGAAAAGTATCTTTCCCTCCGTAAGCAAGCGCTGTAGTATGAGGCGATCCTAAAATTGCCGGGAGCAATGGGCTAGTAACCCCTTCTCCTGTAGACACTTACTAAAAAGAGAAGAAGGAAAAATCTTTATAAAACTGGGATGTTAAATGTGCGTGGAATGTAGTGCGGATGAAAAGAAACAGATGATTGCTGATGTTATGAATGAAAGAAGTTGGATGTCCTGGCCTAAGCAAAACAAAGCTGAAGGGGGTTAGGAGAGTTTCAGTGGGCGGGAAATAAATGGTGTGTTTAATCTGGAGTATTGAGAGAAGTTAGATAGAGCAAAAGGAAGGGGTAGCAGTAATGTTAAATGATCTGTTATGGAAGGTGTAAAAGAGAATATGAATGTGTTAAATTCAAAGAAACTATGTGGATTAAAGTAAGTTGGATGCGAGAAGTGGGTCAGATAGGTGTATGCACATGGCAGAAGAGTGGAATGCAGAGGGGAGAGAGAGATTTTGGGAGATGTCAAGTGAATGTAATAGGAGCCTTTGAACCAAGTGAGAGAGTAATTGTGGTAGGGGACCTGATGCTAAAGTAGGAGAAACTTTTCGAGAGGGTGTGGTAGGTAAGTTTGGGGTGCAAGGTTGTAAATGATAATGGGAGTCCCTTAGATTGAATTTGTATAGAAAGGCGTTGGTTTAGTTATAGGTAATACATATTTTAAGAAAAGAGGATAAATTAAGTATACAAGGTATGATGTAGGGCGAAATGACAGTAGTTGTTGTGATTATGTATTAGTAGATAAAAGACTGTTTGAGTGACTCAGGGATGTACATGTTTATAGAGGGGCCACAGATATATCAGATCATTTCTAGTCTGTAGCTAAAACTGAGTGTAAAAGTAGATGGGATCCAGGAGAAAGAAGCATAGCGGAAGAGGAGAGGTGAAGGTTTATAAACTAATAAGAGAGGCAGTTAGGGTTAAGATATTAAACAGCTAATTGGAGGATAGATGGGCTAATGAGAGCATAAGGCCATGGGGTCGAACGAAGGTATCGGGCGTAGGTTCTAAAAGTGTAGTGATAGAGTGTGACTAGAAGTTTGTGGTTACAGAAACGTGGGTGCGGGAGGGAAGAGGACGCGATTGGTGAATGACTGATGTAAAGAGAGTATAAGGGAGAAAAGTTAGGCATATGAGAAGTTTTTACAAAGTAGAAGTGATGCAAGGAGGAAAGGTATATGGAGGAAAAATGAGAGAGGTTAAGCAGGTGGTGAAGCAGTGTTAAAAAGAGAGCTCAAATGAGAGGTGGGTGAGATGTTTTCACACAATTTTGTTGAAAAAAAGAAAAAGTTTTGTGAGAGTGAGATAACTACGTTAAGAAAGCTAGAGAACAAATGGATTTGCAGTTAAAAAATAGGAGAGTAGAGAGTTATTAATAGGAGGAGTTAGGGTATTGGGAAGATGGAGGGAATATTTTGTGGAAAGTTTACTGTTGATGAAGATTGGGAAGCTGTGATTTCAGTGTATAGGGACAAGGAGGAATAACATTTGTGGAGTGAGGAAGAGCAGTTGTGAGTGTGGGGGAAGTTCGTGGAAGCAGTAGGTAAATGAAGGGGGTTAAGGCAGCCGGGATTGATGGGATTAAAGATAGGAAATGTTAAAAGCAAGGTGGGGATATAGTTTTGGAGAGTGGTTGGTTGCAATTATTTAATAAATGTATGGAAGAGGGTAAGGTAACCTAGGGATTGGCAGTTGAGAGCATGCATAGTTTCCTTTGTATAAAGCAAAGGGGAAAAAGAGAGTGACAAAAAAAATTATAGGGGGATACGTCTGCTGTGTATAACCTGGTAAAGTGTATGGTAGAATTATTATTGAAAGAATTAAGAGTAAGACGGAGAATTTGGTATAGCAGATGAAACAAGGAGGTTTAGGAAAGGTAGGGGGTGGTGGCCAGGTGTTTACAGTGAAAAATATAAGTGAACGTATTTAGATAAGGCTAAAGAGGTCTTTGTGGCATTTATGGATTTAGAAAAAGGCATATGACAGGGTGGATAGGGGCAATGTGGCAGATGTTTGCAAGTGTATGGTTGTAGGAGGTAGGATTACTGAAAGCTGTGAAGATTTTTACGAGGAGGTAGTGAGGCTCAAGTTAGAGTATGTAGGAAAGAGGGAAAATTATTTCCAGTAAATGTAGCCTTAGACTAGGTTGTGTGATGTCACGTGGTTGTTTTATATATTTATTGTTGGGGGTTGTATAAGCAGAAGTAAAATGCAGAGGCGTCTTGAAAAGAGGCGTGGAGTTAAATGATAAAGAATCACACACAAAGTGAGGAGTTGTCACAGCTGCTCTTTGCTGATGACACTGTGCTCTTGGGAGATTCTGATGAGAAGTTGCAGAGGTTGGTGGA